AATGGTTAAAGTATTGAAAAGTTTGTTGTACATGTACCTACTGATATGTTGTTTATTATATATGCATATGAGTTTGAACGTAAGTATAATTTGCATGGTGTAATATAATGTTAAGCTTATGCATGAATGATCCTGGTAAGTGTTTATGAAATGTTGGGGTAATGTAATTGTTTATGAAGGCTCCTCGTTGTTTTGGGAGAAAAGCACTTTAGCTTCCCCCCACAAAACAACTTATAAAGGGGGGAGGTATTGTAATAGGCAGCCATGAGCTCACCTGTCCGTCACAGCTGGGGCAGTGAGTCATCGACCAATGGTGTGACGGAGGGTGGAACTTAAGGGAGGAGCTGGTGTATAAAGGGGTGTGTGAGAGAATGAAGAGAGAGATAAAAGATTGCTGACTGGAACTTAAGATGAGAGAATGAGCTGAGAGTTAAAGTGGTCTTAGAGGCAGTGAGAGTCAGTGAGAAAGAGTCTGTGATAGCTAGTGCCTGAGAAACAGTGATTGATTGATTATTTCTTTAATAGTGATTTACCATTCCTTTATGTTTGTACTCAATAAACCAGGTTTTTATTTTGAAAGTTATACTGGCCTTATGTATGATTTATTTTATAAGGAATGGTTGGTGGCAGTAAAGTGGAATAAAGAGTTTTAAAGTGATGTGACGACCTCCCTTTGTGAGTCGTGAGGAAGGCCGTCACACCTCCCATCTCCAAGATTTCTCCAAATAGAGATATTCCCTCGGCATCAGTACCGAGACCAGAGGCTTTTGCTCCATCTCCAGTTCAGCTGTCAGCATTGACACCAAAGATGAGCCTACCTCATTCAAAGCTGCCCTCAAAGTCATCCTCCAAATCAAAGACTTCATTATAGAAGTCGAAGACATCTTCTGTTCAGCAAGATGCATCAGATAGAATCAAAGCACTTGTTTAAACACCAGGTTGAACATACACTCCAGTCTGACAGACCCCCATATCCAATACTCAAGGAGTCCTTGAGGGAAGCAGCCAACCTTGTTTTGGTATTGGAAGACGACAGGCCACCTGTACCACCTTCAGGCCAAGCTCTGTATGGGCTAGATGTGTGGGCCAAAATGGTTGGGCTGTATTGACCTCTATCTTATTGTGACGGCCCACCATCTGGTAAGTTAGCTAGGTAATCACCCATTCACATTTATTTTCAGAGACCACAAAGAAGAAAGGCTAATTACCTGTAACTCTGGTTCTTCGAGTGGTCATCTGTGAATTCACACGTCCCGCCCATCCTCCCCTCTGTCTGTCACATATATCTCACTTTTATCTTTGACGGTGGCAGACTTCATTTGGAAGTGAAGGGCGGTAGGGATGAGCGGACCATGCGCACCATGGGGGAATGTCCTATGGACTGCATGACTAAAAGCTCTAGAAGGTTCTGAGGAGTCCTGCACATGCGCAGATTAACCCATTTGTGTAATTCACAGATTACCATTCAAAAAACCAGAGTTACAGGTCTTTTTTAGGTTGTCAGGATGGGGGCATTTTCAACAGTTCATTTTTATTACTTACTTAGTCCTTGTAGATTTTTCAAGGGTGCAATTTGAAGAACAATATTCTGAGACCTCAGAGGGTGAACATTTCCTGCTTACATGGCAGACACCTAGACGTTCCCCCCCCCAAAAAAAACTAGACTTTAGAAGAGGATTGTACTTAATCAAACACACTCCTGCAATGTCCATTGTTGTGACAGCTGACAAGGAGGGGCTGGAATTTGGACTCACTGGGACACAGCTTCACACAGTGTATTAGCAAGCTTGTATGGGCACCTACCAACAGTTCCTATGGGAATGCATAGCACACAACTCTGGACAAGCCCACTGATGATGATGGCTGTAGTGTATATATCTTTGATGTTGAGATTTACCAGTTGTACACAGCACAGATTACTACCCCGCACCTGTTAGAAGACTGTGAGGCCAAGGTTCTAGCCCTTACTATTCACAGAAATGCATGACTCAGTTTGTCAAGGGCCAACATGGAAGTAAAAGTGGTCTTTTCCACAAAAATAATGAATGACAAGCAATTATAAACAGTATTTGTGAAGGCTTTCATGGCCGGGATCTAATGGTTGTTGTGGGTTTTTCGGGCTCTTTGGCCATGTTCTGAAAGTTGTTCTTCCTAACATTTCACCATTCTCTGTGGCTGGCATCTTCAGAGGACAGAAGCACCAGAACAGAGTGCTCCTCCTGTCCTCTGAAGATGCTGGCCACAGAAACTGGCGAAACGTCAGGAAGAAAAACCTTCAGAACACGGCCAAAGAGCCCGAAAAAACCCAGAACAACCATTAGATCCCAGCCGTGAAAGCCTTCGCGAATATACTGATTTTTTTGTTTTACCCTTACTAAACCTCTAGGTAACCACAATTTCAGCTGTCCTGGATACTGCACATTTTATAAACATCCACGCAATCTATTTATTTCCGCAAATTTAAAACATTATTCAGGTAGATCTGATGAATTTTGTATTGCTTTTCTCTCTGATTCTTCAAATTAAATTACAGCTAAGGTTGCAAAACTCCCTGCAGTGGTTCATGCAATAAGAAAGGAGATTACAAAATCACTGCAGTAACTAGATTAAGAACATACAATAATTGTAATATAAATTTCAATTTGCTTTGTATAAATTGGAAATACTATATGCTTTGTTATTGTATTTTAGTCTTGAATATCTAACATGGCTGGCCTATGAGTGTAATAATAATAAAGTTCTGTGGTTGTTCTTGTTGGTCTTGATACATGGAAGAAAATTTATACAGTGGTGCCTCACTTAACGAGCGCCCTGTTTAACGACAAATTCGCATAGCGATGAAGATTTTGCAATCGCATTGCGATGTTCCCTATGGGGAAAAATCGCTTTGCGATGATCGCGGGGAAGCGATCATCACAAACGCCCCATTTTCGCCCAGCCGATTAGCTGGGCAAAAATGCGGGCTTCGGGATGATGGGGGGGAAGCGCTCTCCCCGATCATCCTGAAGCCCCGCCGATCAGCTGGGCAAAAACGGGGCATTTGCGATAATCGCGCCAGCTGGGCAAAAATGGGGCATTTGCGATAATCGCGCGAAAACGATCATCACAAATGCCCCATTTTCACATAGCTGATTGGCGGTTCCAAAACGGCCGCCGGAAAAACAAAATGGCAACCGCTGTTTTGCCTCGCTTTAGAGGCACCGAAAATGGCCGCCCCATGGAGGATCTTCGCATAAGGTCAGTTTTTAAGCCCATAGGAATGCATTAAACACGTTTTAATGCGTTTATATGGGCTTTTAAAAATCAATTAGGGACGAAATCCCTTAAGAATGTTTTTCCTGGAACAGATTAACGTCGCTAAGCAAGGCACCACTGTATTAGTTTCATCATTGGTTTCATCAAGTTGCAACACAGACCTATTGCTGGTAAAACATGTCACAAGACTGCCTTATACCAGTGGTCCCCAACCTTTCTGACACCAGGGACTGGTTTAGTTGAAGACCATTCTCCCAAGGACCGGGGGTGGGGTGGGTACTTGTTATGCAGTAGGCTGTTGGAGGATAGCTTTGAATCAAGCTCATAAAGGAACTGGCAAGCAGGAGGAGGAGGTGAGCTGCAATTGAAGCACGGGCTCCTATGAGATTCTAATGCCACAGGCACAGCTGATTTATCAGGAGCAGGAGAGGATCAGGGAGTGAAGCTCTGCCTCCTGTCAGATCAGTAGTGGCATGAGAACCCAAGAGGAGTGCGCTGACAGGAAGCGGAGCTTCACTCGCTGCTGATCTCCTGCTCGCCACTCATCTGTCCCGGCAGCCCGGTCCTTCCAAAGCCACGGACTGGGACTAGTCCACAGACCAGGGTTTGAGAATCCCTATGTTAAAGCATTCTTCGGATGGTTTACAACATAATTGTACAATCAAACCTTTGCCCCACCCAGTGAGTGGAATACTTTTTTTACTAGTCTTGGAAGGATAGAAGCCTGAGTCAACTTTGAGCCAGCTACCTGAATCCGTAGGGATCAAAGATAGGTTGTAACCAGAGGCTTCACTGCAGTAATGCAGCTTAACTGCTGTATCACAGGGCTCAACCATTGCAAAAGGAAACTATTTGCTTTTCCTTGTTTAATCTCAGTGAATTTGCACTGAGAAGAACCAGGAACTTTAAAGTGGCATATATTGGTCAAAATCCCGTTGCTTATCGTAGTAAATTGCACCAGAGTAGTCCAATGAAACCTATGGAAGAGTGCCTCACTAAATCACCGTTGAAGCCAACATGTATATATATCTTCAGTTATATTCTTACTTGTTTTGCATTTGCTTTCATAGCTGGTTCTCCTTTGTTCATACTATACTCAGCGTGCATAGACCTGCACTCAAAATTTTCTTTGTGGATTGTAATTATTTTGCATACTATAGTCTCAAGTTCAGTATCAGACCTTGCATTGATCTCGCTAAAACTGACTTCATAATCCATTGTTTCCTCTTTTTTAAAAAAGTGAAAATATTTTAAACCACAATTCCTTTGCTGAAAATTTACCACGATCCTACCTACTGCACTTACCATGGCTACTTTGCTTTAAAAATGCACTAGATTCTGGAACAGACAAACTAATAGCCATTCCATGAGACAATGAAAAGAATCAGTCATGTGAGCGAAAATCTGTTAAGCTAAAAAGAGGGTTGGATATAAACATGATTAGAAGTTAGCTTAGCTTTTTGTTTCTCTTTTCTGAATCAACAGATAAAAATGCATATTTGCATCATGTGCAAATGTTACTTGTTAAATATTACATCACTTCCACAGTTCACATGTGTGCACCTGACAAACTGTGATGAATAATTGCCCCAAGAAGAGCTACCCCTAAGAGGCCCTATCCGTTGATTACGAAGTACTGAGTATTGCAGAAAAGAAGAGAACTCACTTCTGAAATGACTCTCCCATTCTGCTACTTCTCCAGCGTTACTAAATGTCTGCAGTTTGGTATCATCAAGTTGAACATTAAAACTGCTCTCAGATCAAACATTGCTATGCCGTCACTATTTGTTTGACCTGGTTTAACTGGTTATTAGCCTTTGATCTTCATGGCCTTCTCAACCCCTTTTCCCTTCTCTGTCCTCCTTTTGGCTGGGGATGAGAAACAACAAATCTGAGAGCTGAAAACGTAGCCTGGAAACCTCTTACCAATGATTGGGATGGTCTTTGTCTAAAGCAGCACATCAGGCTTTTGCTTGTCTGTCTCACAGGAGAGGGGTGCAGGAAAGAAAAGGTAAGAGATTTGGGCTTGCTGTTTAATTCTTTAAAAAGAAAAAAAAGCAGCAGCAAAATATAAATCTGCTTTCACCAGAAGACAGAGTTGCCAGATGTGAAAGGAAGTAATTGCACAATTATTGCTGTACTTTCCGTTTAAGCTTTGTCACAAAGGCTTCTAAGAAGTAGACATCTTGGATGTTTCTTCTAGTATGGGTAGTCTAGTCAGTTCTTTTGTTTGAAATATCCCACTTCATGTGTCACATTTTGGATGCCATTAAGGAGCAGGAAATGGACAGATAATCTAATTTATTTTGGTGGGAGCAATTTTAATGTTTTGTACCAGACAACAATGGGATATCTATGCTTTTTTAAATTGAATAAGATTAAAAGGTACCTTGGAACAATATATGCATGGCTATTATAGAAAGTAATGCATGTATGGGTAATATGAAAAAAGTAGAGAGAATATATTCTTCCTCTGGATCTTCCATCAAAGTAGAAATGATGGGAGTTTTGTGACCAAAAAGAAGAAATAAATAAATATTGCTTCATTACCATCATTTGAGATGGTGTTTTTTTAAAAAAAACCAGCTTTAATGGATGTAGTTATTAATGCCTTAATCTAAATGCCCTAATTACCTTCCTCACTTGGTAATTTCATATAGGTATTTGAAAAGTATAGGGGATAAAATAATCCTTTGTGGGCCTCTGCAACATGAATGCCATAATACTGGGCAGAAACCTTCAAATGCTATTCTCTGAAACTAATCCGAAAGGTATAAGTAGAACCTTTGTCTCCCAATACATAACCCACAGACTTAAGCCAGCAACATTTAATTGTTTGTTTAAATTTAATATTTATCTGTTTCTTTTTCTTTATTTTAAATATCTATATTTAAAATATTTTATTTAAATATGGCATTGTTGCTGATATCAAAAGTCTCAAGAGAGGACAACAGAGCCATCTTTTCCTCTTTCTCTTTTGATTTAATTCTTTGATACCCTTTTCCAGTATCAAGGTCAAGTCTGAAACCTGACTGAACGGGATCTAAATACTCTGAGGCACTAAGAGTTGTTGCTGTTTCTGCTCTTAAATGCCTTCAAGTCACTGCTGACTTATGGTGCGTCTATGAACTAGTGACTTCCCAAAGTCCTGTCCTTAACAGCACTGCTCATCTTATATAAAGTCAATGCTATGGTTTCCTTTATGGATCCAATCCAAATCATGTTTGATCTTCCTCTTTTCCTGCTGCCTTCAATTTCTCCTAGCATTATTTTCTCCCACTGTGTTTTATCATGATGAAATGATGAAAGTCAAGGTTTGTTTGTTTTTTTTTTTCATTTTTGTTTTTTCATTTTTCATTTCATGTTTCTTCTCTGTCCAGCTTTCATGCCCATACACAATTATAAAGAATACAATAGTGTGGATGATATTGACCTTGGTCTCCAGTCCTTACATTTCCTTGTAGGCATCCTTCAATCTCAAAAAAACTATGGTAATGTGCTCTGAATAGAGATCTTGGAACAGCGTCTAGTGTGGCTAAGGAAGCCAATTCGAGAGTAACAATCCCTTCCACGCTGAATACAAATACAATCTGTCCCCTGCCCAGCTCTCTGCTTTTGCTGGTTTCAGGACTGCCTCTTTGCCTTGGCCTGCTGGATATATATCTCTTCAAAATGGGAGAAGCCATGCTGCACTGCCTGCGTCCAGGCTGAACGCTCAGATGTCAAGGTTTCCCATCTGCTGCAGTCCATTCCTTAGGCCTTCAGATCCCGCTGGCAGATAATCCTTGTATCGCAGCTGTGGTCTCCCTCTGGGGCGATTTCCCTGCACTAATTCTCCATACAGGAATATTTTAGAATCCAGCCGTCAGCCATTCTCACAACATGCCCAAGCCAACGTAGACATCGCTGTTTTAGTAATGTATACATGCTCACAATTCCACCTCATTCCAGGACTACACTGTTTGGAACTTTGTCCTGTCAGGTGATGCAAAAAATGCATCAGAGATAACGCATATGGAACATGTTCAACCTCCTCTCCTGCTTTGCACAAAGGATCCAGGACACACTGCAGTACATGACTGTACTCAGGACACATGCTCTATAGACCTGGATCTTGGTATGTGCCATCAGCTTTTTGTTAAGCCATACTCTCTTTGTGAGTCTAGATAACATGATAGCTGCTTTGCCAATGCGTTTATCCAGCGTTTTGGTCAGGCTGATTATTAATCTAAAGTCTTGGCAGGCCTTACTAAAACGATTCATGAATTGTTAGAGGTCTTCAGCAGAATGGGCAACAACAGCTGCATCATCGGCGAAGCGGAAGTCCCACATGCATTTCAGCTGGACTTTGGTCTTCGCTCTCAATCTAAAGAGATTAAAGAGCTTTCCATCTGATCTAGTCTGGAGATAAATGCCTCTGTTGCAGATCCAAAAGCGTGCTTCAGCATGACAACAACAACAAAAAAGATAACAAACAGAGTTGGTGCAAGGACACAGCCCTGTTTCACTCCACTTCGAATGTCAAAGACATCTGATGGTGGGCCATAAAAGACTACAGTGCCCTTCATTCCCTCATGAAAGGACCTGATGATGTTAAGGAGTCGAGGTGGACATCCAATCTTGGGAAGTATTTTAGAAAGGCCGTCCCTCCTAACCAAATCAAAGGCCTTTGTAAGATCTATGAAGGCCACTCCCTGGAAAAGACCCAGATGTTGGGAAAGGACGAGATGGTTGGACAGTGTCATTGAAGTTACCAACATGAATTTGACCAAACTCCGGGAGGCAGTGGAAGACAGGAGGGCCTGGTGTGCTTTGGTCCATGGGGTCATGAAGAGTCAGACACAACTTAACGACTAAACAGCAACAACAAATTAAGGCCACAAAGAGTGACTGTCATTGTTCCCTACATTTCTTCTGCAACTGTCTGAGAAAAAATTCCATGTCAGTGGTGGATTTATTAGCTCAAAATCCACACTGTGATTCTGGATAGACTCTGTCTGCAAGCACCTGGAGCCTCTTCAGCACAACACGAGCAAGCAGCTTCCCTACAATTTGGAGAAGAGATGCCACGGTAGTTATTGCAGTCGCCCCATCTCCTTTGTTCTTGTACAATGTGACGATGTTTGCATCCTTCATGTCCTGTGGTACTCCACCTTCTCTCCAGCAAAGACAAAAGATTTCATGCAGCTCAGTGGTGATGATCTCTTTACAGCACTTCAGCACTTTGACAGGGATTTTATCCTTCCCAGGTGCCTTGCCAGAGGCAAGGGAATCCAAGGCTGCTTTTATTTCTGCTAAAGTTGGTTCACTGTCCAACTCTTCCAAGACAAACAGGCACTCAATGTTACTTAGTGCCTCTTCGATTACTACATCGTCTCTGGAATATAGCTCAGAGTAGTGCTGCACCCAGCTTTCCATTTGCTGTACTCGGTCCTGGATGATCACGCCTGTAGCAGACTTCAAAGGAGCGATTTCTTCTGTATTGGACCTAAAGCCATTTCCTTACACTTATACTTATCTTCATTGGACCTAAAGCCATTTCCTTACACTTACACTTATCTTCAAACTTGATTATCTTTTCCAATTCCTTCATGGATGGCCTTCCAAATTTCAGTCTTACGATTTCTTTGCTGCAGTCTTCATTTGGATTGATGACTGAACTGAGTTATACAATTTTTTTTCTCAATTCAGTTTCTTCATTGTCAACATTAAAGTTACATAGTTCTTCTGAAGTTGGGACTTTTGTCTTAATGCTCAAGTGCAGCTGCTTTTTCACTTTCTTCTTTCATTTTCATCACAAGTAATTTCAAGTCAGCCTGTGTTTTCTGTCACAAGATGGTATCATCTACATTATTGATTTTTCTTCCACCAATTTTCACTCCTCCTTTATATGAAACCAATCCAGCTTTCCATATACATTCTGCATGCAGATTGAACAGATAAAGAGATAAAATACAATATTTGTGTGACACCTTTTGACCACACTGAAGTCAGCAGAAAGAGGGGAAGAAATCAGCCTTGTTTGCAGCTTGTTAACCATTTAAATTTTCTCCCCATTCCTAGTGCCTTCATTTGTTTGTTTCCCTCTTCCATTTCCATTCTGCTCCTTTTCTAATCTTTTATTTTTAAAGGCTTGCTGTCCTCGTGATGGGATAGCTAGATGACCAAAGAGAAAGAAAGAACAAGCAAGGACTTTGCAGAGAGACAAGAGGAAAACTTAAGTCTTATTTACAACTTGTTAAGAAGAAAAAGATTGAGGACTCAGCATACAGAGAGGATGATGTTTTAAGGGTGCTCTGGTCAAGCTTTGGTCTTGTCCAGATTTGCAGGTGGCAAAGTTAGAGCAGAGCTACCTTAAAACTTCCTCTCCTCTCTCTGCCCAGTCCTTGCTCCTTTTTTGATTGCCTAGCTGCCCTAGTGCTAGATTAGCACTGTCCTGCCTCTCTCACTGCTGCTGTAGCCAGCTGGAATGGCTCAAAATACAATGGCAACAAAGCCATCAGACTGCCCTAGTCCTGGAGCATTTCCCACATTATTTGCCTGTGTGGCCACACTCTTAAGTTTCTTCCCCATCCCTTGCTTACAGGAAGATGCAGCTGCTATTACCAATTCTCATCTGTATGTGCCCTGCTGTTGCTGCACAGCACCGCTTGGTGGAAGATATATGTACTGCCAAACCAAAGGATATTCCAGTAAACCCAGTTTGCATTTACCGCAACCCTGAGAAAAAGCCACAAGAGGATGCAAGCTCTCCATCTGATACAGAAACAATCCCCACCAGTACAAACCCTCGAGTCTGGGAGTTGTCCAAGGCTAATACCCGCTTTGCTTCTGTCTTCTACAAAAAACTCACCAACTCCAGGAATGCCAACGAGAACATCTTCATGTCACCAATCAGCATCTCCACAGCCTTCGCCATGACCAAGCTAGGAGCCTGTGGCAATACCCTTCAGCAGTTAATGACGGTAAGATAGGAATAGTCTTATCTTTGGACCTCTTGTAGTTGTAGAAGTCAGCCTCATTTCCTATATAAGCAGTTGTTTATCTCTCCCAATTATGTCTATATCAGTTCCATTTAGAAGAAGAATATTGCAGATCAACATATTACACATAATTACAGTGCTTTCTCATGATGAAAAAACAGGAAACATAGCAAAACACTTTTTGGAACTAGCTCCTCATGGAGCTATGCCTGGTCCCCTCCTTGTTAACATTTAGAAGGCAACTTGCCCCACCTCTAGTCCTGCTGTTATATAGAAAAATTGCCTCTGGTGCCATTTGTTTTACTCTGTCAAATGGATGCATTTTTATTGTTTATTCATAGTTTTATTAGTATATGTTTTATTTATTTTTGTGAGCCATCACACTAGTGAGGCAGTACATAAATCAAATCAATCAATCAATCAATAGTGGAAAAGAATTCTGTACCATTTGTGTTGCTACCATGAACAATTATATTTCATATATTTGTCCTTGTTTGACAGTAGATGCGTTTGTCATGCTAACAAAACTGAGGTGCAACTCACATACCATTCCCCCATTCAGGATCAGTATATACAGATTAAACAATATGAACAATTTTAGTTACAAACAGTGCAAAGAAAGTTTCTTGGTCCTCTGGCAATGAATCCTGGTGACTAGAGATTGAATATTCTTATTCGTCTCCCAGGAGAGACAGACACAAATATTGCTGACACAGGTGGCTGGGCTGATTGGACCCTCCCTCCAGAACCAGGCTGTCCACTTACCACTTGCAGTGTGGCATGCATGGCCATTATCATTTGTGCTGCACCAATCACGGAAGTAGCCCAGCCAGGGCTTCTCCACCTTCCTGTGCTGCTAACTAATCTGATGGGGAGGCAGGATGACGAGTCTCCCTGTTCAGCTGCTGAGTGGTCAGCAGCACAGGGAGGCAGGGTAGCCACAGCTGGACTACTTCTGCAATTGGAATGGTGTGAACTATGACAGCTGCACGCTGTGCACTGCAAGTGAACAGTGTTGGAGGTGATTGGGTACAACTAACCTTATACTGAAGAAAATGCATGTCCTTATGTGGGAAGGAATAGATAAAGAACTATCTCCTTAGATTTCCTCAATTGTTTCTTAGCAATCAGTCTCGAGGTAGTCAGATCAGCTGTCCCTCCACTCTAAATCTGATGCTGCTGAATGCCAGGTCTGTATCCAACACATCCCAGATTATTCAAGACCTTATTCTGGAGGAGGAGGATGCAGACCTGGCATGCATAACCGAATCTTGGATGGGCAGGGAAGGGGGTGTTCCCTTGACTCTTGCCTGTCCTCCCAGTTATGCAGTCCAGCACCAGGGTAGAGTGGAGGGGTAGGGGGGAGGAGCCATTGTTTATAGGAACACTCTGGAGGTTATTGGGCACTCTACGGTGGTGAAGCCAGGTCTTGAGGCCCGCCACGTGTCGATTGGGGCCAGAGATGGCATTGGGATCTTGCTGGGTTACTGCACTCCCTGCGACCCAGCCATTTCCTTACTGGAGCTGGGGGACTTGGTCTCCGCGGCACTGTTGGAGTCCCTGAGGCTTCTGGTCTTCGGTGATTTCAACATCCATGCAGAGGTGGAGGTTTCCAAACCAGCTCTTGAGTTCATGGAAACCATGGCTTCCTTGGACATGTCTCAACATGTTAACGGCCCCACCCATGTGGGTGGTCACTCACTAGACCTGGTGTTCTCCCCCAAGCGGAGTCAGTGTGGTCTGATGGTAACTGACCTTGTGGTAACTGATCACCACCTAATAAAATGTAGCCTCTCAGTGGCTCTTCCTCCCCACAGGGAGCAGAAACCTCTTTTAATGGTCCGCCCTCGAAGGCTACGGGATCCTATAGGATTCCAGGACACGATGAGAGGGATTCCGGCTGATCTGACTGGCACTCTTGTCGAGGCTCTGGTTGATGGCTGGCTTGCTGCCGCCACCAGGGCTGTTAACATGATTGGTCCTAAAAGTCCTCTCCATTGCAGAGCTATGAAGCAAAACAGGAGAAGTCTAGAGTGCAATTGGAGATGGAACCTGATGAATTATAATCAGAAAGCTGTCAGGATCACGACTAACCATTACCTTGCTAAGGTGACGGCTGCTAGTCGAGCTCACTTCGCTGTCCAGATAAGCGAAGCGTCAAATCAGCAGGCGGAACTTTTCCGTATAATTCACAATCTATCTGGAACTGGTCTAAGTAATGGGCGTCCTACTAGTATCTCACCTGACCAATTTGCAGCATTTTAAAAATCTAAAGTGGAGGCCATCCGCCGGGAGCTCTCTCCTTTTTTGAATACAGTAGATCTAGCAGAGATGTCCAGCGTTCCACCTTTCCAGGTGAGACTTGATCTCACCAGATATGGTGGACAAAGTGCTTGACTGCTGTCATGGCCTACAAAATCTGAATGGGCTACAGCAATCATTAATGGATCTCTCCAGGAGGGCAAGGTTCCCTTTGCCCTCAAGGAGATGCTCATTAGGCCCATAAGGAAGAAACCAAGTTTGGCAGCAGACAACATTGGCAATTATAGGCCGGTCGCCAATGTTTCTTTCCTTAGCAAAATGGTGGAGAGGGTGGTGGCTGACCAGCTCCATGCTCTTTTGGATGAAACCAATGCCCTGGATCCATTCCAGTTGGGCTTCAGGCTGTGCCACGATACGGAAACAGCATTGGTTGCCCTGTTTGATGAACTGCTGAAGGAGGCTGACAGGGGCAAAATGTCTTTGTTGGTCCTCCTTGATATCTCAGGCACCTTCGATACCGTCAATCATGGTATCCTCCTGGGGAGGCTCTCCGAGCTTGGAATCGGTGGCCTGGCACTTGCCTGGCTCCAATCCTTCTTGGAGGACCATCCTCAGAGAGAGGAGGGTTTTGGGTAGAGTTTTTGGCCCCGTGGAGCCTCAACTGTGGGGTTCCACAGGGCTCGATCATCTCCCCAATGCTGTTTAATATCTACATGAGGCCACTGGGTGGGGTCATCAGGGCATGTGGGGCTTCATGCCATCAATACGCTGATCTCCTTTTCTCCAACCATAGTGGATGCTGTTTCATCCCTTCAGCGCTGCCTGGAGGCTGTACAGCAATGGATGCAGGGCAATGGACTGAGGCTGAACCCGGACAAGATGGAGGTCCTGAGGTTGGGTGGCCCCTCCATTGGTGGCTTGGGAAAGTCCCTCTCTTTTGGGGGAGTGACCCTCATCGCAAAGACTGAGGTTCACAGCTTGGGGGTCCATCTGGATCTGACACTCAACATAGAAACCCAGGTGGCATCAGTGATCTGCTCCACCTATTTCCATCTGTGGTGGATTGCCCAGCTGCATCCCTATCTTGATGTTGGGGCACTCATCTCTTTGGTCCATGCGCTTGTAATCTCAAGATTAGATTACTGCAATGCACTCTATGTGGGGCTACCTTTGAGACTGATGCAGAAGCTTCAAATGGTGCAGAATGCGGCAGCCAGATTTCTTAGTGGGACAAGAAAATATCAGCATATTTTCTCCACTCTGGCTGCCTTGCATTGGCTGCCTGTTCATTTCTGCATTGATTTCAAAGTGTTAATGATGACATATAAATCCCTAAATGGTTTAGGACCTTGATATCCAGCGGAATGCCTCCTCCCACCTAGATCTACCCAAATCAATTGTTCTAGCCAGGAAGGGCGGCTGAGGGGCTAACGCCGAGGAAGGCCCAGAGAGAAAGAACAAAAAAACGGGCCTTCTCGGCAATGGCCCCTCGCCTTTGGAACAGTCTCCCCTCAGAGATCTGGCTGGCTCCCTCACTGGGTGTTTTTAAGAGCCAACTTAAGACCTGGCTCTTTAGGCAGGCTTTCCCTTCTGTCATCACTTGATTTTTTTATTTTTCCCCCATCTTGAATTATATTATTGTTGTTGTTTTTTATTTTATTATACTGTTTTTATTCTATTTTTATTGTTTGCTGCCCAGAGTAGACATCTGTCTAGATAGCTGGGGTATAAATTTAATAAATAAATAAATAAATAAGCTCCTCTGACCAGTCCTAACCTTCCTTCACCTTCTGTCATCACTTGATTTTTTTATTTTTCCCCCATCTTGAATTATATTATTGTTGTTGTTTTTTATTTTATTATACTGTTTTTATTCTATTTTTATTGTTTGCTGCCCAGAGTAGACATCTGTCTAGATAGCTGGGGTATAAATTTAATAAATAAATAAATAAATAAGCTCCTCTGACCAGTCCTAACCTTCCTTCAACCTATATTGATATTCTTGGGGTTGTTGATGTCAGACTTCCTTTCTTCTCCTCAACCACCTCTGGAAGAGATAAGAGGAGGCATCTTGCATTTGTTCTGGAGAGGAAAAGGGGCAGCCATGGCTCTCTGTGTCTTCACCTTAGTTAGGTGGAACTAGGAGCCCCATTATCTTTGCTATCTCAGTCTCTAATGAACGCCAGCTTTCTTATTTTCTTAGAATACAAGTGTGAATGTGATTTCTTTATAAAGGGGGAAAGTGTGCTCTGCACTCTGAATCCACAAGTTAACTTAGCTGCTACTTGCTGCTGCTTTGCTCTGCTAACATTTCCACCCCCAAAAATGAAGACGGATGGATAGCTGTCATACCATGCAGTTTTGGTTTAGGATTGTACCTTTCCTCTTCAAAAGTGACAGTGGTTTGGGTTGACCCCTGACAGCTGTAGCCAAAGCTGTGCAGCGTGTTTTAAATTTCTGAGATACCCAAACAGACCTAATCCACCTGTTCTCCAATTGCCTTTCTCATTGTTCTGTCTCTCTAGGTTTTTAAGTTTGATACCATTTCTGCAAAGACATCAGATCAAATCCACTTCTTCTTTGCCAAACTGAACTGTCGACTTTACAAAAAGGTCAACAAATCCTCAGAGCTGGTGTCAGCCAACCGCCTCTTTGGGGAAAAGTCCCTAAACTTTAATGAAACCTACCAGAATATTAGCGAAGTGGTGTATGGAGCTAAACTCTGGCCTTTGAATTTCAAGGTGAGTCTTACGTATCTTGGAGTGCTGATGCTCAGAGCTGCAAAGTCTTTTTCAGTGTTGAAGTCTTCCTGTACAAGAGTTCAAATCATGCTTTCAGGCTGTTCAGCTTCTCCAATTCTTTATTTGTCACATGAAGCATGGCTTTGACTTGCTTCTGAATGCAATGCCAGTTTCCTTCTGCCCCACTGTGTTTTTACCACCTTGCCCTTTCTGTCAACAAAGCTGCAACTTCATCTGATTAAACATTTGACCAGTCTCTTGAATTCTGTGTATCCTTGTAATTCTGTGTTTTTGTGTTATGGATTAGGATGCAACAGTAGACTAGTTCTGAGCTTTCAGTTTTTAAAAAGGGTCTTTGAATTTTTATACAGAGCCCCTTATTTCTAAAAGAGGTGCCTGCTGCCTGTAAGGAGTCTGTCTAGATGCTCTATAGGTTTTCAAGTGTTGCCCTCATTCTATCTGCCATAATATTTCTGTGTAATGTGTTAGGGACCAGTAACTAAGCTGGCTGAGAAGGGATTGTATTGTGCTGTGTTTTGATTTTGGTTTCTGGTTAGTGAGACAGCTGCCAGGCAAAAAGCTAACCACACATTTAAGTTGATAAAATCCATAATGAAAAATGAGGATGGCCAACTTGCCACTACAGTTTGTTGATGGGTCTTGTGATGCTACAACATGTGTCTGTTCATATTCTCAGGGCTATGAATGTACAGTACTCTTATAAATGCAGCCGCTTTCTGTATAATATCCTAGGAGCCCTGCTGGTTTCTTTCTTTCTTCTTTTTAGTCCTCTGATTCTGCCAGTTAGTTGTGGACAAATTCTACTGGCCTGGCAAAATTTGGTAAAGTTTTGCAAGACTGGCAATTGTGGACAGTACACATAAGTATTCTTCTAAACAGTTAGGTGATTGTGTCTCAGTTTTTTCTTTAAACAAAGGAATGCTGTGAAGGCCAAAACGAATGAAACTGAAGGATAGAAAACCTAAATAGGTTATCAGGTGCAATTTTAGATTTTACAGAGCGTGACATGTGCTAGGTTTTGGTAAAATCATGATATTCTCATACTTTTCTTGCTCCTTCATTGTGTTTGTGAACATTTCTTTTTCTATGTTGCCTGCTTTTAGGAGAAGCCAGAGTTATCAAGGGCATTAATTAATAATTGGGTGGCAAATAAGACAGAGAAACGCATCATGGAAGTAATCCCGGAAGGAGGCATTGATAGCAACACTGTTTTGGTGCTAGTCAACACTATCTATTTCAAGGTATGGAGAACACAAAACAGAATTTAAATTGTCAAAAGATGGGTGAATATTTATTCATCAAGGGAAGAGGAACCAAGTTCAGTGCTAATGCACGAACCTGGCCAATATTAGTTTTTAAGTGAGTTTCACTGGAGAGATCAGATGTCTGAAAATTACTATCTGCTTTTTTCCCCTTTCCCTTTAATTGCCTCCACCCAGGGCCACTGGAAATCCAAGTTCCACCTTGAAAACACAAAGGTGGAGCCATTTTTCAGAGCTACCTCTGAGCCTTGCCCAGTGCCTACAATGTATCAGGAAGCTTCCTTCCGCTATGCCTCCATTCCAAGTTCTAGAGTACAGGTGCTGGAGCTTCCCTACAAAGGAGATGATATCACAATGGTGCTCATCTTGCCGTATGTGAACACACCCTTGGCCGAAGTGGAACAGGCACTGACGTCAGAGAAACTGGAAAGCTGGTTGAACTCCATGAGTGAAGTTTCCCTCTCGGTACATCTTCCCCGTTTCCGAATAGAGGACAAGTTTAGCTTGAAGGAAAAACTACAACATATGGGATTGAGGGATCTCTTCAGCCCTGAACATGCCAGTCTGCCAGGTCAGTCTCAAACAGGTTCTGAAAAGTATAATGTTTACTATAAAATCCCAAGCATAATCTTGGAGGCCCAATACAAATCTGTACATGTCCTCCTTTCACACATAGACCACCTTGTGTCATGAAAGACAAGTCTCTGTTTTAATTCTGAAATTACATCTTGCACATTTTTAAAATTACATAGTAGACTATGCTGGGGCTTTTCAACCAGGCGTAAACATATACAGTGGTGCCTCGCTTAACGGGCGCCCCGTTTAACGATGAATCTGCATAGCGATTAAGTTTTTGCGATCGCAAAAGCGATCGCATTTCAATGTTTTAAATAGGGAAAAATCGCTTTGTAATGATCGGTAAACTGTTTTGCTTACCGATTTTCGCATAGCGATGTTTTTATAACAGCTGATTGGCGGTTCCAAAATGACCGCCGGGTAAAAAATGGCCGCCCGCTGTGTTTTCGCGCCAATTCCTCACTTACCAGACAGCGGAAATGGCGGCTGTATGGAGGATTTTCGCATAATGGTGAGTTTTTTGCCCATAGGAACGCATTAAACTGGTTTTAATGCATTCCTATGGGCTTTTTTATTCCGCATAGCAATGAATCCACATAGCGGCGATTTTTCCAGAACGGATTATCGTCACTATGTGGGGCACCACTGTACCCAGTCAGAGTCACAGATACACACAATGTTCTCCTTCATGGTCTCTGTGAATATAAACGAATGGGTTAATCTGCGCTCGAGCAGAGCAGCCTCGGAAACTTCTAAGTTCTAAGGAGGGGCCTGGACCAGCCATTCATCATTACTCAGAATATTGTTTTAGCTTCTCATTTCCCTTAGGGTTCATGGCTTCAGGGACATTCTATAACTAAGAAAAATATCCTCACAGAGTAAGTGGCTGGAATCTTGTTGCACAGTTACACAAACAACATAATTTTTAGAGGTAAATTGTCTTAAATTAAGAAATTTCTGTTGACCTTGACTCAGCAAAGTCCTGACTCAGAATGCAACAGATAATGTCTACAGAGATTTCTTAATTTATGGCACTTTGCTTCCAAATGTTACACATTTGTGTAGTTGTGGAACAGGATTTCAGCCAGTGTTTTCTCTGCCTTGAAGAAGACTGCAACACCTCTGTGTGTAAAGCCTGCCAGTCCTCCTTCAATTAGACAAGATTGCAGTGGTGCCTTGACTTACGACCATAATCCATTCCAGAAGATGGATGTATTTCGAAATGGTCATAAGACAACACACCATTTCCCATTGAAATGCATTAGAAAGTGATTAATCCGTTCTGCTCTGTATCACATTTGGGGCCGTTTGGGGAAATGGTTCTTAAGTTATGATTCTTTAAAAGTACAGTGGTGCCTCAATTTATGACCACAATCTGTTCCAGAAGATGGACATAACTTGAAATGCTTGTAAGTTGAAGCACTATTTCCCGTTGAAATGCATTGGAACGCAATTAATCCGTTCTGGGGAAAAAAAAATCCCAAAATAAATAAAGCACACAGCAAGCCCGGTCCGAAGGCGCTGGGGCTTTAAAAAAAGAAACCAAAAATAAACAGCAAAGCAAGCCCCGAAGGTGCTGGGACTGAAAAAAATAAACCAAACCAAAAATAAACAAAGGAGCAAGCCCCAACATTACTGTCAATACTGCTCTTCATACTAACTCTTGTGTCAACATTAGTGAATCAGACAAAGAGAAGTGATGAGAGTCTTTAGTCACTCCTAAGGAAAAGGAAAATAAGGTTAAGCATGCTAAATATACTGCAGCTGATTCTGCTGTGGCAGACATAATCTCTGAGCACCCACCCACAGAGATTCAGGTGAGTGAGAATTTCCCAACAATGCCAGCCCAATGCCAATTCCCTTCTGAGACACAAGCTTCAGTGTGTAAAGGTGAAATACAAGAAGAATCAGTACTGGCAGGAGCATCTTGAGCCAATCACAAGAGTGAGCTTGATTGGCTCCAGTAATATCTCATATTGGATTATAGGCTAACTATGTTTTTCAGTACAGAGAGTGTTCTCCATCATCATAACATTCTTCAAGAGAAGAGGCAATACTGTGTAGGGTTTCAATAATGAACATGTTGGTCTCAATCCTAATCTCCATCTACATCATCACATGTCTACTCTTCATCTCCACGGTGATGCCACTAGATAGATGGTGGTATTTGTGCCCAGTTAGAAGGGCATTCTCCTCAATATCAACTTTCTCTGATTCACTGTCATTCACTTTCCATCCACCCACCTCATCCCTAGTGTTGGATCTCAGCAGCAGCAAGAGAATCTCTTCCCCATATTGTTGCTGCTTCTTCAGTACCATCCAGTTGATCTGTGATCCAGCCTACTTCAATGGTTGCACGTTTTTCTATTTCTGCAATGGTACCAATGACACATTCTCATCTTCAGCAGATGTACCTTCGATGCTGTCACAGCCACAGTAACAATTCATATGCCAGTTGTTCAGTGATCTAACGTAAACCAAGTATGTTTACAACAGAAATGGTTACATTAATTCATATTACATTTATGCCTTCACTGTTGTCACATGAATGTAGTTTTTGAAGAAGCTGCTGTGTTAGTCCGTCCAAGCGTATCAGACAAAAAAAAACCCAACTAACCAAACAGACAAAAACATTGTGACACCTTAAAAGCTAACTGGAATAGTTTAATGTGAGCTTTCATGGATCAATTCCACTTCCTCTTCCTCTAAGGAGAAGGCCACAGTGAACTTGTCACATCATGTTGCCAAGTGTCTACAATTCCAGGGTTGCTCTAGTGCATTCAGTAGATTCATTAATGCATATTGAATCATTTCCACTAGATCCTCTGATCTGAGATAAGGAATGTTCCCATGCCACTGTATTATTTTGTGTGGTGATGTGTTTGCAGATTCCTTGTAGGCAAAAGAAATCCCCAGAGGACAGATCTTGTCTTTTCACTGATCAGTATTGTAGGCAATGCTCCCATGCTTCTCCGTGTCATTTCCTGGAATTCAGATTGTCAAGAGCTTTGGGCACAAACCATTTCCATCACTGGAACATCAAATGGAGAGCCTATAGAGTTAACAAATAAAAACAAACAAACCAACCACCTATGAGTTTCCATCCAAATACCCAGATCTCCAATTAAGTTGTTGTATAATCTGCAGGTTTAAAAAAATCATAATCAGCATTAATGGAGAAGGGAATTTGTCATTGGGAAAACAATTTGGAGCATGAAGAGATGAAATGAATCTTTCACTGTATTTGAAGCAATGATGTCCAAGTTCCCTCTATCTGAGCCTTCAACTGTTCTCCATTTTTCTGTTTATTACCCACAAAAACATGGAGAGAACAACATTTTTCCATTCCTGGAACTACAGCCGTTTGTGTTTGTTGCAATTAGTAGATGGTTCATAGAATAATGGAGTTCAAAGGGGCCGATAAGGCCATCAAGTCCAACTCCCTACTCACTGCAGGAATCAAAGTCAAAGCTGATCTGACAGATGGTTGTCCAATTTTCTCTTGAAGGCCTCCAGCGTTGGAGTGCTCAACACCTCCCGAGGTAATTGGTTCCATTGTCATGCTGCTCTAATGAGATTCAGGAAGAGAATTGAGAATGTGGAGGTTTTAAAGCCTCTTTTGCCATTCAGACTACATTGGAAGAGTATTCTTGAACATGGACTTTGAATGGTCTAATGTTACTTTTTTTAAAAAAATTGTGACAAAAGAAAGACACACACAATTCATTCATTTCTCCTCTCTATATCTCTAAGGGTAGTCATGTGCATTCCTTATTATGGTTAGTCATGCTGAATGACTGTGTGCTTTCATAGCCTGCATGAAGGCATAAGAGATTGGGGATACCCCAACTCTTGTCAGTCTCATGTAAGAAATTAACAGCCTTGATAACTCATGGTCATCCCACCACCACCCCTTAATTAATTTTATGAGCAGTTGTTGCCAATAGCGAAAGAGAATCAGATCCCTACAGGCATTATATAACACAAATACCTGGAAAAAAATTTGGGTAGTCAATGTCATACCCAAGCAAGGGAGTTCCATTTTCCCCTTTCTTCTGATTTCAGCTTTATTTGATGTGGAAGGGGCTTAAAATGTGGGGATAGACTTCTGTAATTTAGCTGGGAGAGTAAAACTAAGGTAGCTGAGGCATGTTGTAGTAACAGGGGATGCCAGGGAGAGACTAAAGTAGTCAGGCATCTGCCACAGTCATGTTAAGCCCTAGAATTGGTGCTTTTTCATGCTAATAACCATGTCAATAACCATAACATAGAAAAAAGTGTTCAATATATGTAGGAATCTCTTCGGTGGGATTGGAGGATATATCACTGTGACATCATTGGCAAACAGCAGACACCACTCAGGGTTCGAGCTTGCCTTAAGTTCTGACAAGTGTTTTGTGTCCCATTTTATTACACTTGGTGCTGACTTTAAGTCATTTATTCTAATTAGGATTTAGTGACTTGGTTAAATTTAACAGAAAGGACCAAGATCTGTTTTGTTACATGTTTTGAGAAGAAAGCCCATTCTATTTTTTGGCAGAAAATGTTGGGCACATTTAGTGATATCAGATAGTGTGCTTAGATAGTTGATCTCTCAGCATTCCTAGTGTAGGATGACATTTCTCTCTGATTTCTTGGATCTTCTGGAAGAGATCTCTTATTTTTTTCCCTTTTGTTGTTCTCCTCCATTTATTTGCACTGGTTGTTGTAGTGGTTCTCTTTGTCCTTACATGACATTTGCTGAAAAACTGCTTTCAGGATTCTGACCTTGTTTCTGAGGAGTCCTGTGACAAAGAACCTGCAGTTCTAGAAAGTGAAGTGAAAGCTGCTCTGAAAGCACTAGGAATAAACCAATCACCAGAAGTAGATGGATACCAATAGAACTATTTCAAACCACAGAAACTGAATCTGTCAAAATTCTAAAAAGAATGTGCCAGCAAATATGGAAAACAAAACAATGGCTCACAGACTGGAAATATTCTGTATACATTCCAC